TATTTTAGAAATCTCCCATACATATTTCAACCTCCCTACTCACTTTCTTTGGAATAATCATACTATTCTATTTAAAGTGCATACCTTTATTAAGAACATTATTACAATTCAAGAACTTCTTTCTTGGTTCTTATTAAAATTTTTCAACAACTAAATATCTGATATAAACTGGAATCTAACTTTTAAAATACTTAACTTCTTAGAGTATGATTCCTATAAATACATCTTTTATATCAAAATCCTAACAAATAATCTTCTAACAATGCAAAATCTTAATATCCACTATCCAAATTTATATACAACGAACAAATATTATAAATGCTCTTCAACCAAAAATATCCTTCACATACTTCTATGCACAAAAAATACTGAAAATATCCAACAATCACTCTTTAACATAACCAATAACATGCTTCAACAACTGCAAATCACATTTATACAACTTACAACACTTTTCAACCTTCTATTAATACCTACTACTACCTCTTCTAATATACAATATAACTCTCTTCTCTCAACTATTCTTGGGATATATTCCAAAATAATATATCAAAATATCAAAACCTCAACAAAAAAACAAACTGAACTTTGAACAACCTTTTAAACTAGTTCTATCATAAAATATGGTTCCAACGAAATTCTTTTCAACATCAATAGGAAATAGCTTGTAACATTACACCCAAGGTTAAACATAATAAATTATCTTTATTGCCATTTACTAATCAAACAAATACACAAAAACCTTATACTTAACCAATAGATCTATACTATGCTATTGAAAAATAGAACTTACAAAGTGTCTCTCTAATAACATGCTTTTTATAATGTTATGATTAACACTTTAGGTCTTCTTCTACCTATCCTAACTAGAAATATTTTATTCATTTAAACTAATAATAGTATTCAAATAGGAAATAGGAGGTGTAATGTCACATTGAATACTCTGTAGCACAAATGTAGCTAGAAATCTTTATCATAGAAAATTTTCTAAAATCATATCTTCTTATTATTAGCTAGTACTGAGTTGAAGAAATTTGGCAGCATGGTCAGGTGACTTATCTGCCCCCTTACCCAAGTCTTTTTAGTAACAGGAAGACTATTAATCATTAGATTAATATAGGTTTATTGTAACAAAGTTTCTACTATGATATTATATTAATAAAAAAAAAAAATTTAAAATTTTTGAACTTATTTGAACTTTTTAAAAATTTGCAATATTTCAAAATTATTCTCATTATTCTTATTATTTGTGAAATATTAATTAAAGTTCTATTTAATAAATATTTAGATTTTTGAAAATTATTGAATATTTTCATAATTTTTCACAATTTTTCGAAATAGTTTCCATATTTTGAAGCTTATTTAAAAAATATATAAAAGCTTTAATAAATATTTAAATAAGTAAATTTATTTTTCAGATTTTTGCAATATTTTGGATTTATTCTTATTAATTAATTCTTCTGTTTATATTTACAACACTACTATTTTTAAAAATTTTAAATTCTTTCAAAAACTTCTGAATATTTTTTAATATGATAATTTATTTGACCAATAATTATCTTACTAAAAAGGTAAAAATTTTACGTAACAAAAACTTTTATTCTCTTCTAATAATCCCTCATATATCAAAAAACCTGATTACATTAAAATCTAGAATACTTTTACTTAACAATAGAATAATGCACAATATGCATATATCGTGAAATTTCTATAAATGGTTATTATTTGTTTTCAGTGCAGATTAATTTTTCTACATTATTTGTTTATCCTTAATATAGTAATAAGTAGTTGAAAGTTGCTGAAGTTAAAACATTTTAGGTAATCAGTAATATTTCATTGTTTAATATTAGTTATATATCAATATATGGGGGGCTCCACAGCAAAAGGTGGCGATAGGAAAATCCCATGATCGTGAGAAAATCGCAATTTAAAATTATCATGTGATCACTGACAAATTTTTTGATTTTTCTTAAAAAAATGACAGTTGCGAAGCTTTTTTTTTATACATTTACTTCCTTTCAGTACAGGTTATTTTTCTACACTACCGAAGTATAAAAATACATATTTATTATATAATTCTTTTTAATTAAAATCGTCTAATTTAAAATTGTCGTGGCACATAAAATTTTGGAAACGAAATCTCAAATTTCATTTTTTTTTTTAAAGAAAAAAAAAAGACCCTAATTTAATCATTACTAAAAACTATATATTTAACAATACTAACGGATATTAACCTTGGTTTATTTGTTTTTGTTTTTAATTATTTACTTATATTGCTCTTCCCTTATTTATTATAAAAAAATTTGCGACGTAACTTTTTTTTACCACTCACCAGTTACCAGTTTTATACACGAACCCTACTTTAACAATAAACTAACTCCTATTAAATATTCATATCTTATTTTAATGAAGACAATGGTTATCAGGTATATAATTATACTGCTTTTTAGCACCGGCAATAATAAAAATTTTTTGAAATAATTTTAATTCATCTTTCTTCCAATTTTGCTTCCGGTATTGGACAAGTAATATCACGAAAAGGTAAATCAACATGGGGTGCAATTTCTTTATACAATTCTTCTTGCCGTTTAAAAGAAAGTGGCTTAACATTAAGTGTAGAGGGTAAATTATTGGCATCAAAAAAAAAAGATCGCATTGTAAAAGTTTTGTAGCTTTCTTCAAGATTATTTTTGTAAGAAACGATCCCTGGGATTGCGAAATAAAGTAAAAATGATAATACTTTTGAATATAAGGTAACTTTTTGAATGTTTGAAAATAGGCTTTGAAATCATAATATTGATAACCTTCACCACTCAAATAACGCTGAGCAATATTAAGATTAATCGTTGTAGAACGGTTAACAATCGAAATTATATCATCTACAGTATTTACTTTGCTTTTTCTATAGAGAATCTTAATCAAACCAAAACAGCCATCGCAAATGAATTTAGTATGGCCAGGTATCATGAAGTTTAACTCAATTTCATCATATACACCACGATCAATTAACCATGAATAAAAAAACAGAGAATAATTATTCTTGTTTTGACCTACGCAGTTGTCACATGCAACAACTAATTTTTTTTTACCACGGTTGTATTTTTTAATTGCATGCCACACCAAGCTTAGAGTACAATTTACGCCTTTTCCTTGTTTATCATCATCAGGCATTTCAGCTTCATCGATTATATAATTGATTTGTTGTGTATTAGGAAAATTACCAGTGTTACAAACACCAAATAAATGTGTCTTTCGAGGACTTTTAAAGTATAATAACCCTACTTGCTGCGGTGAATAAGATACTTGTATGCTCTGAGCCCAGTCATATGCAATATGAGCAATGCCCTTAAAAGTTTTTAATGATACTTGAGATTCGGCTCCGTTTGGATTGTGTTTGCCATCTTCAATTGCAGTGGTAATATTTTTATTATAGTAATCACGTTCTTCTTGTGCACGATTTAAATGAGCCAAATAATCTTTTGTAAGTTCTAATTTTTTTTCATGTTGTGTAGCGTATTGGATATCCATTTTCATCATCTCACAAGTTTCACACAAATCAGACTTCGAAGACATAAATTGAAGTGAAGGCATTAAAGCTTTTCAAATATTAGTAAAAGTTGATTTAGAAATAACACGAACATCTCCATACTTATCCTTATAGGCCTGCGTATAATCATGATATACCGATGTATAGTTATAATTTGTGGGAAGAAATACAATTGGCATAGAAATTTCTTTAAAATGTCGTCCAGGTGAGGGCATACCTTGCAAATCAGAATAGTTTTTTAAAAATTTAAATACTTCACACGCTACATCATAATTTACTTCAATACGTTTCATATTCTTTGGAGTTCTACCCATATTGCCATGTACATGTTCCTCAAGACCATTTTCATGTAAATGATGTATAACATTTTCTAAATATTTATGACTAGCCCCTATAAGAGCCAAATATGTATCACGACAAACTTGAATACTATTATTATAACAATAACGAAAACGACAATACTTTTTATTTTCATTAGAACCTTTTTTTTGTATTGTCATCTTTCTGAAAGGCCATAAGCTGTCCTTTAATAACCATATCTTGTATATTTTTATCCAAACTCTCAAATTCGACTCGACGTGCAAGAAACCGCTCATAACCAATTTGATTAAAGCAGGTTTGGCTAGAACGACACGAACATTTTTTTTTTTCAAAAAATTTTTTTACTGTTAATTTCAAATCATCATAAACTTTATCTTCAATATAATTATCAGGAACTTCTATAAATTCAAATTTATTTAATCTATTTAAATTAATATCATCATCTATGTTAAGAATTTCTTCATTATCATCACTGTTATCTGATATACTGGTAGGATTACTTTCTTCATCGGAATCTGAACATTCAACGAAAAATGTATTTTCTAAATCATTTAAAGCAGTCAAAATAACTTGATTTGTGTCATGATCGTTAGAATATATACTGTACTCCATTCTTATTGTTAAAATTATAAGTAAGGTGTTAAAAGTTATTATTAACTATTAATTTATTTTTCGTTCGTATATACGTACGTATATCACAGTATCTGTATCAGCACTATCTGTATAATGATGATTATACACCAAATAAATTACACATTTAAACAGGTTTATACAAGAATTTAACATTGTAAAAGCATGACTATTACGCTATATTCTCAAATATAATCTTGGTACTGTACAATATCAGATAGGTACAGTACGTATATAGGGACGAGAAATGGTTCAAAAAGACCAGGTCCTGAACCTGTTTATTCAAGGTTCAAAATAAAGTTCTAAAAAACTATTCCCTTGGGATTGTTTTTTAATTTGGGAATCTTGGTTTTTTGTTCTATAATAGTATTAGTGCCATTGTACTAGCATTAATACAGACATGTATGTACATACCTGATAACGCACGTATATGCATATGTTCAGAACCAATGAAAAGTAAGCTCGAAACTTAAGTTTGGCAACTTCCACAAGATATAATTTAAGCTTTAAACTGTTCCCAAACTTGGACTTTTATGAAACAAGACCGAACAAGTCCAAACAGGACCGAACAGGACTTTTACCATCCCTAATCGATATCGATTTGGTGTAAATCAATGCATAATACTAAGTATATAGGTGCGTATTTGTAGATCATTTTTTTTGAATTTTTTTTTTAACGAACACGGGAATAAAAATTTAAATTTGCATATTTTTTACTAATATATTATAATAAAAAAAATTACCTCTATACAAGTTAAGACCCTTAAGAAGATGATTATCATAAAATCTCAAAATCTGATTGGTTGGCCTATCGCCACCTTTTGCTGTGGAGCCCCCATATATTGTTTCAGTAAAATCACGAAATATTTTAAATATATTTAATAATTTAATTTGAATAAAGATAAAAATTTTAAATTTATTACAATAAATCAAAATATTTTAATAGTATATTATATAAGTAGTATATAAAAAGATTGATTACTTTAGTTAATTCGAATTATTTAAATGATTATGCAAGTAATAAAAATATTTAAAAATTTTTGTATGCGCAAATAAATTTTGAGTTATTAGTATATTTTCAAAAATATATAAAACTTGTGAAAATATTTTATTTCTTCTTCATATTTTCAAGTTATATAATTTTAATAAAATTAATTCTCTTTATTTCCCGATACTTCAAATTTTTACCCAATTTCTTAATATTTTTCACTTTTATCAATTTCACTTTATTAAAATTTTTACCTTTTTCAATTATATTTAACTCTTTTACCATTTCTGATAATATTTTATTCTTTCACCTTTTTTGATAATATTCATACTTTCATCTATTCTGAAACTTTTTCATGTCTTTTACATTAATTCGAACTTTCTCTATTTTTTTTTACTTTCTTTTATTTTATTTTATTTTATTTTATTTTTATATTATTCTTACTTTTTTTTTTATCTTGTTTTATATTATTTTTATATTATTTTATATTTTTAATTTTATTTTAATTTTAAATATAATCAACTCTTTCTGATGATCGCTTGAACTAAAATTTTCTAAAAAACTCTATTACTAAAAATACAAGCATGTATAGTAGTGTCGTTATAAGTCAGAGAAAAACTATAAGATAGCAACTATTATTTAGAGGTCGTTCTTATATGCTACTTGCTAATAGTCTTAGAGTTTATCACTTATCACAGGTGCAGCGCTTGTGTCATTTAGAAATAGTTCTTATACACTATTTGCCAACAAGTTTAGAGTTTATTACTTACTAAGAAAACAAGTATTTGCATGCCTGCTCCAATAGGAGTCTCAATAGAGGCTATATATTGCTGTTACTCTTAGTAAAGAAAAATTCACACTTTTTAAAATAGTACAAGTGCTTTTTCTTTCCTCTGTCTATCTACTGATTTTACAAAAATTTTTAACAAAAAGTGGGCAAAATAGCTCACTCCCTCCAAAAGATTGGCATTGTTTACACTTATCAAATTCAGATAGACTTAGTAGAATGCAAGCACGTGTTTGTTTATATCAATATGGTGCTACATCACATAGCACGGATCAGTGCCCTGGTTTAGAGATATCTGAAGTTTATTATATGTCATAGAAAGAAAATATCAATGTTAAGGTGAAGCTTTACAATAGAGATATATTAAATGTAGCAATTAGTATATAATTTTTTTACCTTTGCACAGGTCATAATAGTGCATCTTCTTTATATATATATTTTGACTATAACTTTTTTTTTTTTTTTTTTTCTATTTTCATCTTTTAAATTTCTTTTTGTTTAGTATATTCTTCTCTTCTTTTTTTTCTCACCTTTATTTTCTTTCCACTTATACCCTTTCTATATATATTTTTTTTTATTTTTTTCATCATAGATAGATTATGGTTTATTCTTTCTGCCAAGATCTAGATAGAAAAAATTAAAAAAAAAGAAGTGGTCATGAAGAGCTGGTAAATCCTGGCTAGTGAATTGTGGATCTCTAATTTGAGGTAGATTAAAGAGAAGCAAGGAGGCTGATTTTACTCTGGCAGGTCACACATAGGTACTTTTTAGTAACCAGATGAGCCACACTTTAGTATAAAACAGCTTGCTGTAGATAGAAAACATGGGGATAAAATCTGTATATATTCTATTTTATATAATAAAGTTGTAACATAACCACTTGAAAAAAAAAAATAAAAATAAAAAAAATTTATTTTATTTTTATTTTTTATTTTATTTTCGTATCTTTAAAATATCTTCGACTTATTCACAAAAAATTGCTGATAAGTGCAGATTTTTCAGAAGTTTGTTGCTGGAACTTATATGTTTTCAGATTCTCCAAAAAAAACTAAAACACATTCTTCTGCTATTAGTTGCAGACCTTTGCTTATTGCTCAAGATCCTTCAATTAGTATATTTTCTTTAAAATTTTTTGTATTTTTTTTATTATTTCATTCAATTTAATTTATTTTTTTTTAAATTTTTATTTAGATAATGTAACTCTTGCTCAAATAATGAATAGGATTAATGAGCTATCTGATAAAATTGATCAAATTGAAAGAAAGATTTTTGACAGAATTTCAGAGAGTCTCAACACTTCACAAGAAATAGTATTTATTAAAGTAATTATTATTTATATATATTAATGTTTATAATTAATTAATTTAATTTAATAATATATTATTTTATAATTGTATAGCATAAAAGAAATCATCAAAAGCCTCAATGAAAGTAATATTTATTCTACAAAAACTGAATTACAGCAGGTGATAGCTTAATATCTCAAAGATAATAAACCTGATTTCTGGGCAAGAATGAAAAGCAAAAATTAGAATACTTAGTTTAAAGATATTTTCGAAGCTTCTATATTTTTAATTAATTATTATAAATTTTATATATATCAAAATATTTTGAATTATTTCAAATTTATTTTTTTGAGATTATATATATATACCCAAAGATATATATATCTATATCATGTGATCTATAGTTTGCCACTAAAATTCAAGATCAGATGCAACATTACACAATCAGAAAAATTTAAAATAAATGTTTATTTTGACAAAAATTGCTCATTTTGCAAGAAACTGCATACTAAACTACTTTTTGTATAATAATAAAAAGTTTTTTTAAACAATTTTACTATATAATAGCTTAAACTCTAATTCTAATATAGTTATTACTCTAACTTTATTCTAAATAATATTTGATTGCTAGTTTTGTATATAATATCATATGATCAAAATTCACTAATGAAATGAAAGATAAAACCAAACTTGAAACACCTATGGCTCTCCAACTCTTTGACTTTCTTAAAACCCACCTTCACAACTTTTATCCTGGCAAAATCCTCAAGAAAGCCAATAATAAAAATTCATACCCACTTCGAGCCAACTTCAGATACCTTATCTGTATCATGGCTGCTTGCCAACCCAATTCCTTTTAAACTTTATCTACTCCAATAACTCTAATACTAATGCCAAAGCCTCAATTAATTTTACTATCCTTGAAACTACTCTTAGAAATTTAATTCATAAATTCCCATCTATTCTCTTTACCCAATTCATCTATAAAGAAATCTTTGCTTCAGCACTTACCATACCTTTTTACAAACCTGAAAACATAATTCAATTCTGCCTTAACCTTGCCTGTATATACCTATACCTCTCTGAGAACTACCAATATATCAACTACACTAAGTTTGCAAAAGACTTCAACCTCCGTCTAAAAACCTTTCAAATCGCATTCTATATTGTTTCTATTAACTAAAACAAAGAATATCTTACTATCAAATCAAATGACAAATTTAATTTTAATCACTTATTTAATTTATCTCAATCACTTTTTCTACACAAATTTAGTATTTCCTCTCTTAAAAACTCTGAAAAAAACTTTGATGAATGGTTCAAAAACTTTTTTTCACTTTACAATGCCAATTCACCTCAATTGACAAACAAGAAATATATAACAAACTATGTTATCTTATTAAAAGAGTATTTACCTTCCAACTTAAAAAGTTTCTTACCTCCAAATATGTCCCTAACAAATCTTCAAACTCTTTTGAATGCCTACTGGATATACTCGATTTCTTAACTACTATATACTCACATGTATACACAAAGACTTCTTCTATGTCCAAAATAGCAAACATAATATACCTGATCTCCACCAAGCTATTCAACAAGAATTTGACAAACATTATCCTGTTCAAGCAAACAAAAATTTACCTATCATTTTGATTGACTCCTCAATCTTCCATATTGACAACATATATCCAGCCACCTTCCAAAAACCTATTCTAACAAAAACTCTTGACAAACTTGAGATGAAGCAGAGCAGCAAATATGCAAAAAATATTTTACTTCCTTTAGCAAAAGCTGCTGTAATTTTTACTTTTATCAATACTTGCAAATCTACCAAGATATTGCAGCTGATAATCACAACATCTCCTATCTCTCCAAAAAACAAGCCATCGATCTTATCACCCAAAACATTGTATCTACTGAT